CAGAGCGGTCGCGTTTGGCTGCTGCGGGCGCCCTTCGAAGCCGGAGAAGGGGGGCTCTGGCGTGGGTTTGGGGGCTTTCCCAGCGTGGCTGTGCGTGGCAGAGGCGAGAGCCCCCGGATCTCAGCAGGCGAGATGCCCAGAGATCCTCAGAGCATCCTTGGGCACCTGCGCAACCGTCCACAGCTCAGCCTGGCTTGCTTTTCCGGGAGCTGCCGGCCCGTCGAGGCCTGAGGAGCGGGGACGGGTGCTGTACAGCAGGCACCGGGACGGGGCTGAGCCCCCGCACGTTGGTGGGATTCGCCTGTGCTCGGGGCTGACCTGCCGCCTCTCAGGGAAGCACCGGAGCGGCTGTGGGTGTGCAGACCGGCTGTCTGGGGCAGGGAGGCTGAGCGGAGGGAGCGGGTTCAAGGGCTGGGAGGGGGATTACAGCCCTGCGGGTGCCTCTTGGTGGGGTGTTGTTTTCTGCAAAGATAAACTTTGGGGAAGCGAGACTGGCATCGAGGTTCCCCTGTCACATCCAGTGCAACACTCCTGCGCGGTGGCTGGGAGCCGGTGTGGTCTGTCAGGCTGCACACAGGGAAAGCACCCGTGGAAGTTTGTCTCTGAATAACATCCCCGCTCGAGTCAGGGGGCAGGCAGCTGCTTGGCTTCTGTCTGTTGCCCTTCAGGCAAGCCGGGACAGGTCCATGGAAAGGCCAGGTTCCCTTCACTGAACAAGAAAGTCGTCTCCCCCCACCCCAAGCGCTGAGAGCAAAGTCTTCTCTTGGTGAGCAGTTGCAGGCTGAGCAAACAGCCTTCCCCGCAGACAGACACAGGCAGCTCAGCAGGGCAGGGGCCGTGGCGGTGGCCAGGGCGGTGCAGGTGGCCGAGCAGCATGGCTGGAGCCCAGGCAGCTGCCGGAGAGGGAGCAGGCGCTGGGGAGGCCGTGCCTCGGTGGCTGATGATCCTGACGCTCCCCAGGCCAGCAGTGAGAGGTGGATGCTGGATCCGTGCACTGCCGCCACCGGGTCTTGGTGTTTCTGGGGGCCAGTTCAGCATCTGGGCTCGGGGTGAAGTTGACTCTGCGTGGAGAAAGAGGTTGAAGTTTGCCAAGGCTTGTGATGCGTGGGGAACGTTTTTTGCACCAGTTTATCCACTGAGGGGGCTGGTGCAGATGTGGTTCGTGCTGATCTGTTCCCAGCAGGCCTGCGGTGACCTGGGGGAGGTTGCTTCAGGGGGCAGAGCCCGGTGAGTGGTGGGTGGAAGTGGGACACGGCTGCTGTGTGTAACCTCCTCTCCCTTGCCCCCCCAGCTTACCTCGCTCAGAACAGCATGGCGCGACGCACGCGGAGCAGCAGGGCCTGGCACTTCGTCCTGAGCGGGGTGCGGCGTGAGGCGGACACCCGGGCGGTTGCTTTGGCCACCGGCGCGCGTGGCTGGGGCTACGACTCCGATGGGCAGGTAGGCTGGTGCTCAGGTGGCCCTGAAGTGACACGAGGGAAAGCTTCCCTCTCCCCTGGCAGCAGGCACCTCCTCAAGGTCCATGTAACTGAGCAGCTAGGAGTTCAGCTGGCAGAACTGGCCAAAATCAGAAAAGATTTAATAAAATAGGCTGTCTAACGAGCCTCCCTCCAAGCTCTGATGGTGTGGGGCTCCCAGCACATCTTCCTGAGGCAGGGGAGGCTAAGCTGCCCGTAGTCTGCTCCCCAGTTGCCCACCACCACTCTGCTGTTAGCTGACCAGGGAGCTGACTGATGCTAAGCTGAATGCTTTTTTAAGCATATAGTATGTGTGTGTGTCATATATAAAGTACGTACAATATTTTTTAAATACTCTTTTTTTAAGCAGTGATCTAAATATGTGTTTAAACTGGATCAGTTCTCCCATCTGGCTCGCTGTGCGGCTGTGCTAACTTCTGGTCTTTGTGCAGCTGGTAGGTGGTGGTGGAGGGAGTGGGGCTGCTTCAGACTGAGAAGTTCCAGCCTCAGCTATCTTTGAACTGAAATTCTCTCATGTTTCCTGCTCTGTAACATTCACATCGCTTCTGAATCTGGCCCGGGCGTGCAGGTGTGCTGGAAGATGGGAACACAGCAGGAAGAGCAGTTGGTAAAACAGCGCGAGGGGTGACTTAGAGTCACCTCTGCCATCCTTCACTTTTTTCCCCAGTTCTTGAGTGCGTGAGTTCAGTTCCCTGTGCAGTGGTGGGGATGCAAGGAACTGCTCCTGCAGCTTCAGAGCTAGGCTTAAAGCCTTACAAGGCCTCTGCACAGTGTCCAAACCCAGGCACTGTGCTCCCAGCAAATGAGCCTTTGCTCTGCAGTCAGAGTAGCTTTGTGTTTCTGCAGTAAGGGGAATGGCTGGATTTCTAGATAGCGGTAGTTAGGAAGGGCTGATGAAAGACAGAAGTCGAGCTTTTTAGTAGGCAGGCTGGAGAAGGAGGTGTGGGCAATACGTAAGTAAGCCCGAGTCATTTCACACAGCTACAAGAACATGAATTTAAAGGATTTTTGTCTTTAAATACTGCTTACAATGTCTGCCTTGGGGGTAAATAACGAGCAGCTATGCCTGACCAGAGTAACTTGCTGCAATCTGTGGTAAGAGACTCCCATTAGGTGACACCAAGCCTCCCATAACACAGGGAGTGAGACGGGGCTTTGATTCTTACAGCATCCAATGCGGGGACACTTTGGTCTCTTGGTGCTGGGGAATAGTAAATCAAGTTTTTGTGTTCACGCATGAAAGTAAACAAAAGCCTTTTAATCCTTCTGTAGGTTCGCTGTGGGCCTGTCTGCAGCGCTGGCGTGAGGAGCTGCAGCCGTGCTGCTGAACTGGTTCCCCTTTGTTCTGCCCTCTCCCCTGCCTGGCCTCCTGTCCCTTTTCCTCCTCGTCCTGTTTGCCTCCCTCTCTTCTCTGTCAGGTCCCAGGCTCTCTCAACCAGTGATTTGCAGCAGTGTGCTCTGGTTCTGTGTTGCCTTGGCTGGGCTCTCCAGCTGGCCATAACCTGCCCATTAAAAACCATAGCTTTAGCATGGAGTTTGCTTAAAAATATGCATGTTAAAGACTTGGACTGTCACGCTGCTTGCCTGCTGTGACAGCTCCTTGCCCCTGGAAGACACAAAGAACATACCCACATTGTGCAGTGCCCCATGCTGAGAGGTCCCTGCAGCTCAGACAGATGCTAGCCAGGTCCCAAAGCCGGGTAATTCGACTGGCACAGCCCCTCACCTCCCTGCATGGCAGGCAGGGCTGGGCCACGACGCATCGGTCCCGCCACCACCGCTGGCATGAGCCTGGGGTCCTCCCCGCACGGCTCTGCAGCGCGCCAGGCCT